ATTTAAAATTTACTCTGGATCAATGCAAACAGCATTTTCTAAGCACTTTTATTAACAAATACGTACGTCCTTGCTGTCCAGAGAGGATTCTCAAGCATCTTCTGTATATGCTAATACCTCTGCGATCTGAAGTAATCCACATCTTGGTACCATATTTTTGACTGTAAGAGGAAATGACATTCTTTGGACTCAACCCTTTCATTATCTGCAACTCCACGTGCTGATCAATATTTAAAAATATGGGCAGAAGGACCTGTCTTGTTAGGAAAAGAGTTACTTGGGCCACTCTTGTGCATGGTGTGTTGTTCAGGAGAGCAGGCGAAGGGTTCTTGGGGGTCTCTGCGTGTGTCTGTGCTCCCACCATGTCCCTATGTGGAGGAGCAGCACTGACACCCCACAGGGATGGAAGGGCCTAGTCCTATTCAAAGGAGGATGAAGCACCAACATTTTTAATTTTTTTTTTTTTGCCAAATTTATTATTTTACTGAAACAATTGTCAGAGGAAAAAATATTCTAGTGAGGAAGAAGCAGCTTCGTCTTCTGTGATTTTAACTTCCCAGGGTAAAAGAGAACAATTAGTCAACAGAAAAAAAAAAAAAGGAAATCTTTACATTTCCTCAAAAATACTGACATTTCCAGCCAACTCTGTTGAAGGGAGGTGCTTCTGGTGCCTAAACAGTGCTGCTTGATGCAGCTCAGTGGTAGCCTGGTTGTCGGAGCCTCGCGCCGGGGCGTGGAGTTGTTTTTGCAGGGCTGTGCATGAGCCTTGGCAACCTCACAACATTGGCAGCTTTTGAAAAGCTATTTTGCAAAATGCCTGGTGACAATGTAGGGCATTCCCTGGCGACTAAAGGGCAAAACGGGTGCGTGTGCAATTCTTGAAAAACACTTAAGCAAATGGCTGGGCCAGAGAGGTTTGCAACATTTGTCGAAGTATTAGTAGTGCTCTAAAGTTTACCGAGCCATTAATGTCATGCTATTACATTTGCAGGGATTTTGAAATATAGGAAGTGTTTGTGGTGGTAATAAAATTGCGTGGGACCTTGTTTTTCCTTGGAGTCATTAAATAAAGGGGGGTCAGGGCTGCCCTGCAAAGGCAGCAGGAGCAGCCCGCGGAGGGGCCGTGCAGGGCTCTGCTCCTCGGGAGCCGGGTGATAGCCCGAGCACAAAAGTGATTGTCCTGGAGCAGCTTGGCAGTGGGCACACAGAACCAGGGGGTTTGCTAGGGAGATAACAATGAGCCTTAATGACTTTTCAGCTCAGGGTCCGTTGAATTACTGCTTTATTTGTATGAACGTAGCCCCTCCTGTAGAGCAGCAGCTCTGCCGTGGCTGATAAAGCCTCTTGTGAGATGCTGACATGGTCATGAGCACAGACGTTTTCTAGCAAAGCATGCTCTCCTGCACAAGTTACTTTTTGTGGCTTTGGAAGTATCTTTCCATAGTCGATGCCTTTCAGGGTGACTTTTCAAGATTTTTAAATATATTAATCTGGCTTTTCTTACAGAAGGCTTTCCACGCTAGCACTTTTGGGTTGTATCTCAATGTAATAGAGATTTGTGTGCCAGAAGAACATGAAAAAAATGCAACTGCTTCCTAATTCATCAACTAGTTATAAGGGACTAGGTCCTGCTTTATTAATAAGCTGAATAGGTGCGTAAAAGGAGTTTTGGCAGTTGGGACTGAAAGCTACCTGGATAAAAGGAGAATATTTAACAATGCAGTTGCTGTGGATTCAGTTAAGACTAATGAAAAATCGACGTCTTTCTAAATCTTGTTTTCAGAAATATTATTACCGCTGCAACTGCTGCTCAGCAATTCCCAGCCATCTCTCCAGCCCCCAGCACAGCAGTGGTCTCTGCATGGTGCAGATGTTGAAATGAGAAATCAGCACTTTGTAATGGGCTCTCAAACTAAAATTAAACATCAATTTCCTGGCTTCCAGTCAGATGGTTGGCATTCAGTTAGCTGGGCAAATATTGCTGGACCAGAGGAATTCTTCGGACTTTGACATTACTGAGGTTGTGTTTTGCTGATTTTCACTCCTGGATTCCCTTGGAGAACGCGCTGTATGAACATGGGGTTTGATGTGTGGCTCTCCCCGTGTACCATGGGTGGAAACACAGGCAGCGTGTCCCTGCAGAGCAGACCTGTGGAGCTGTACTCCAGGTTGCATTTACAGCCACGGCTCTTTCTCCGGGCGTGCAGTTTCCCACCAAGAACGAGCGTTCTGGATGTACTGGGTGATGCATTTTGCCTGTCGCATCATCTGAGTTCAGGGTAAGCGTTTAGCAGCCGTGAACGGGCATTGCCAGCACAAGGGACCTGCAATTAGTCTTAAATGTCTTCTCCTGAGTAACAGCCCTTCACTTGCTGGGTTACAGGAAAGTGGCTTTATCCATTCAGTGTGGCCCTTCACCCTCTGACACACAGCGACGTACTCCACCAACAACCCAGTGCTCAAGGGCTTTTATTTTTCCTTTTTTCTCATCAGTGCCCTGGCTTCCCGTCTCCCAGCCGAGAACACCAGGACACTTTTCCTGCAGTGCTGGTGGCTCAGTGACCCCGACAGCTCTGAGTTGCCTTTGCTCCGAGTTCCTGCTTTACTACTTCTCCTTCAGCTGCTCTTAGTGACACGGCAGCGCTCGGTGACTGGGAGGTGGCTTGGGGGGGGAGAGATGCTGCTGGGGCTGTAGGTCCTTTGGTGAAGTGTGGAACACATTGCATTGCCTGAAAGAGGAATATTTTTTCTGACTAAATGTCAGCAGAGGAACTGCTTCAGCAGCCCAATGCAGCTCTGAGCAGTCTGAGAAGCTCTGTGGGATTATCCAGCCATGGAGAGGTTCTCCTCAGCATCGGGCAACCTCATTTCTCCCTTGGAAGGGAAATGGCCATTCAAACCAGCAGCCTTGTTTGCAGTTGCTCGTGACCCTACGTTGGATCACTCCCCTCTCTTCTGGTTTTCAGATCTTGGTTTGTGTTGAAGTGCTTAACAGAAATAGGCGTCTTCATGTAGAGGCTCCCTACAGGTGGGAACTGAATTTCTCAAGGCTACAGCAAAAGTATGAAGGGAGACTTTCCATTTTCTGTTAAAATTCCCGAGGTCTTTCCCTAATACGTCTTTTGTTCAGTGCTGCTGCTTGATGGCATTAGTGCTGAGATTACAATTTAAGCATAAAACGCTTTTCACATCTAATCTCAATCTTGAAATTAATGTTCTTCTGGAATTAGGAATACACTACAATGTAGAGTTTGCAAATAGCTCCCTAAAAGAGACACATGATTTCCCCAGTCCCAGGGGCTCCTCTGGTCCAGGAGGATTCATCAGGCCCTGAGCTGGGCACAGTCCAGTCCAGAGGGCTAAAAGCAGGAATTATATTTGGGGCTTGAGAACAACACTCTGAAGTAAACAGATATGGAGCAGTAAGTTGAAGGTGAGGCTGAAGCAAACCATGAAGCAGAAAGGAATTACTCTGTTAGAAAATGAATGCATTGAGCTAATGAATCATTTTGAGGCGAAAGCAGAAATTAAATGTATGCTGAAAGCTGGCACGTTAGTAAATGGGCTGTGGGTTTTTAACCATTTTACATTTCAAAGTCCTGATATAAAGTATGTCTTATGGTGAAATCCCATTAAGAAATAATGCTCTGAGTAGGGAAATAAGGGTTTGGTTAACAGGAAACTGGCTTCTCCTCCCAGAGCAACCAGGGACTGCCTTTGTGTCATGGGGTAAATCAGGGTTTGGTATGGACCTTAGGGGAATAACAGCGAGCAGAGCTTGTGCCTGACAGCTCACTGATGAGGGAGAGGACTGGCTTTTTTTGCCCAGGATGGTGGTGCTGGGTGCTCCGGCAGCCTGGCGGGCGTGGAAGGGTGCGGTGTGGCGAGGGCACGCAGCTGGTGCCAGAGGAAAATGTCATTTTTTTGTTCTGAAAGCTGAAGTGCTTTGCATCCCAGATTTCCTATTTCAGGGCGGCTTTTGCCCTTACCTCAACGACAGCCCTCACCCAGCTGTCCTTTCCCAGGCTCTGGGAAGACCATACGCTGAGTCTTTGTATATTACGTTCATTTTAAAGAAATCCTGTGGTGGAGTTTAATTATTTGCATTGGCTTTTCACGTCATGATGTCTCTCTGGTGATCAGTGAGTAAATTTATTTAAAGCGTGCAGTGGGACAGCGGTGGTGTGCAGTTGGGGCGGTGTCGGCACGTCATGGGGTGATGTTGGCCTCTCATGGGGTGATATTAGAATGCTGTGGGGTGGTGGTGGCGTGCCATGGGGTGATGTTGGCATGCTGTGGGGACGTGCCGTGGGGTGGTGTTGGGCCACCCCCCGTACGCGGTGGTGAGCCCTGTGCCCTGGGGTGGCAGCTCCAGCCCAGCGCGCTGTGGAACCCTCGTGATCCCCTTGAAGATGCTCCACGTTGAGGGCTGCCATCAAGCACGAGCAGGAGCAGCTCGGGACTGGTGGCAGCCCCAGAAGAGGGTGGGATGGACAACCCCGACCTTTCCAGTCCCACCTGTGCACTGGGGGGACTCACGGGTTTATCGGGACTCCCCTGTCCGCAGTGAATTCCATTTTCTGATCGACTTCTTGAGAAATCGATGCCAAACGCACTGAAGGAGCAGCAGCTTCTGTCCTCACCTGAAGAGGGAAAGGCGCGTTGTTCCGGGATGGGTAGCGTGCACCTCTCCAGGTGCTGTTTTAGCCTGGCCAGGTGAGCAGGGACCGAGCCCCTGCAGCTGACAGCATCCCCCGGGGAAGCAGCAGCGAGTTCTTCCCTGCTCTGCTCGCAGCGGGTGTGTTTAGGAGGGGACTTCGCTCCGCTGCTTTGTGTCTGCGAGCCGCGCACGCTGAGGCTATTCCCTGGCACGCAGTCCATACGCTGCTCCTTACACAGAGGAATAAGATAAAACAGCTCCCTCCCCCTCACGTTGCTACTGAAAAACAGGGATGGGGGAAAAATAATCCTTCAGCCAACTGCCCTGCTTGTGGTGATAAGAGCAATGCGATCATTTTTTTTTTTTAAGGAGGCGGTCAAGGCAATTACATTATTTTGCTAAACAAAGCCGTTTCCGAGATTTCTGCATTGTGGATGCTTTCTCCGTCGTTTTGCACCAAATTCGTTGCAGCAGCAAGGCCAGAGAGTTTGCCTTGACTCCCCTCACTACCAAAATAAATGTACAGGGCAGGATTGTTCCACTGAGCAGCCCCGAATGGGGAGAGAGAAGAAGGAAAGAGGTGGTACGTGCCGACAGCTCTAAACTGAATGCGGTGCGGGTTGCTATGTATGAGAGAGTTCAGGGGGGAAAGAGGAGGAAGTCGGAGGAGCAGCCAAAGCTCGCAGGATGGCGAGAGCCAAGCTGAAGAATTCCCCTTCAGAGAGCAATTCCCATGTCAAAACTGTCCCACCAGCGACGACAGAAGATGTCCATGGGGTGAGCCCCTTGCTGCCGGCTCGGAGGATGGGATCCTTGGGGAGCGACGTCGGACAAAGGTATTGCAGGACTGCAGTGATGCATGGGGCTTCGGGGGTGTGTGGGGGGGGGGGCAGCAGCTTTTATCTTTTAAATGAGGGGGAAAGGATTAGTGCCACCACGGACTGGAGGGGTGGCAGATGAAATCCTTCTGATAGCCGTGTGAAAGAGCCACACCAGCTCCAAAGTTGTATTATGAAATAGGGAGCTGGAGCAGGAGAAAGCTAGTTCTTTTAAATTTTTTATAAGTGCTTCTTGTCTTTTTATACGCCAAAAGCATGTCTGAATGGCAGCCCTGAGATTGCGGGGCTGCCACACAACACTGAACTTGCATTGTGCCTTATCTGTGCAATATAAGACTGAAGCTTATTTACACTGCTAACGCCACAGTGTGCACTGTACATAAGCACCATGTTTGTGTGGAAGAAGAGATGCTCAGTCCCCCATCTGAGGGATAATTTATTTGTAACTGCAATTAAAAAAAAAAAAAAAAAAGAAGCTACCATATAAAATGCTGCAGCCTCTTTCTGCAAGCACACAGCTGATGTGTACAGAAAGAAAGGAGCTGTTTTTCAGGAGAAGGAAAACGCTTTACATTGCACTTGAATTACAGCGTTTCAGAAGAAGCCAGGTCCCCTAGTTATGATGAGGACGCATATTCTTGTTCCTTGTTCTGCATATTCAGTTCTTGTTCTGTTCATTCCATTTTCTGTTTCATTTTTTTTCCCCATCCATTCAGCCTTTCAGCCCATCCATGCTGTCTTCCTTCTTGGCAAAAATTGCCTCACCTGTGATTGTGTACTGTATATCTTCTAGGATGTAATTTGGTGCTGTTTCTAGCTCTGGTTTCCCGTGCAAATTAGCACTGTAGGAAATCTTCTGTTCCCAGTGAATTTTACTTGTTTGGCTGTCGAGCGGAAGGAATTAACCAGCTCAGCTCCAGTATCTTGGTGTATCTCACTGGTGGGCTGGGGGGGAAGACGGCAGGGAGCCAGGATTAGCAGACGTGGTGCCCCCCGGGGAAGCCGGGGAGGTGTGTGTGTGGGGGGGGGTTGTGCTGTGGGGGGCATCGGCGGGGTCGTTCCCCCCGTGCCGAGCTGCGCCGGGCACACGCTTTAGTCGCCGGGTCCGGGAGACAGAGTCCTGGTGTGGTTGTGGAACTGAGAGTGCGCGACTCGGCCTGATGTGTGCTGTGTCAGCAGTCCGGGCGGCACCGGTGCCGCTTCTCTAGGGAGGAGGCACTTGGGTCTTGTGGGTCCTTGTCTTCTGGCTGTGGGAGGCAAGGGCTTACGGACGGGGAAAGCTGCGAAGGGGGCATCGTCTGGGTGCTTTGGAACTCAATCCCTGGAGGTTGTGTGGCCTCAGCATTGTTTGGACAGGCGATCTGTATCTGCTCCCGGTGTCGATCAGACTGCTTTCGCTCTGTTTTCCTGTCTTACGTTCACTGCTTCAAAGAGACGTTAAAGGTTGACCTGTTCTGGGGTACCTACGTCTCTGAAGGCATGTCCTGAACATCACTGTTGGCGAAGCCGTTGGAGGGAGCTTGCTTCCTTCCCTGTGCCCTTTCAGGTACTGTTGATGTACCCCTCATAGCAGCGCCAGGATGCTCACATCCAGATGCACTGGGGCTAGAAGATGACTCCGACTTGCGGCTGGGGGACTCTTACAGACTCGTCCCAACCACTGCTATCCAGCGGTGCTTAAACACCCAGGAGGGGCTTCTCCTCTCTGGTTCTCAGAGACTTGGTGGGTTCCTGTCCAGGACCAGGGAGCCAAACCTTCATCCCAGGGCTGACTCTCCTTGTATCTTGGGGGGGAGCATGGCACAAAGGAGGAGTGCTGCAAGACAGTGGATCTGGGGGGGCAGGAGGCAGCAATTCCAAAAATTGCATAGCTACAGTGTTTTAGTGGACGTTTGCCAGAAGGCCAAGTGTGCAGAGCACACCAGGGTGCCTCCGGGCTTTATAAAAGAACCCAATTCCCAGGGTTTCTCTGGAAATTCATGTGTTTTGCTGCAGTCTTCTTGTAAGATGCTGCCAAGAGGTAGGGAAGTTGATGGCAACACTTCTACACGCCTCTGGCAGCGGGCCGAGCCCTGCGAGCTGCTTCTTGCAGTGTCTGAATTCCCGACTGCCGGGCTTTCCTTCTCCTCTGTGCGCTGCTTCTCGACGATTGAGTTGGCAATTAAGATTGAGATTTGTGCACTTCTCTTTCGCTGTGTGTGCAAGCAACAATGGCAGGAAGATTGCTTCGGAAATGATGAATAGCGGGTTTGAGATGCTTTGTCTCCTCCAAAGCCAGACACAGGCAGCATTATCAAGTTAGCAGTGGGAATTGTTATTGGGAGTTGGGAGTGAAATTACCAGGTGATGGTGGAAGAAGATGTTGTGTTACAGGATATTCTCAGGGATACAAATGAATTCTTTGGATGACTGAAGCCAATGAAGTTTATTCTCACCTACTTTATTTACCTCCTTACTCTGTCTCTTAGTCATTTCAGCATCTCAAAGCTTTTAGGGGTTCTCAGTCAAAACAGGAGGAAAGGATTTGAGTTTGTGTGAAGACAAATCACTCCACAGCCGTGTGTTATTCCACACTTGGAGGCAAAAGGGGGAATTCAGGGCTGGCCCTGGGCATCCAGGACAGGGATGCTTTCCTGTGGGTGGAGAGCTGCAGAGGTGATGAGACCAGCCCAGGCTGCTTGTGTGGAAGTGGCTGCCTCTGAAGATGCTTGGAGCTGCATCAGGGGCTGCTCTGAGCAGGGGATGCAACCAGAGCTTCAGGGTGGGCAGGTTCTGCTGCCAGAGCTGCTGCCTGGGCACTGAAACTCTCCCGGCACGTAGCAATCATGCAGCTGAAGCAAGCTGTGGAAGGTTGAGTCTTTCCCCAGGAGCTGGGATTTTCCTGAGGCAGGTTGGTCCCGGATGATTTGTGTCAGGAAGGGAATTTGAAAGGGAAAGGTGTGATAGGGAACAAAGCCACAGAAAAGCCAAATGCTGTGCTGCGCTCTCCGTTGGGCGGCTGTGTTTGGGAGGAAGCTGCTGGCAGGTATGAGGACATGTAAATGTCTGTGTTTGGATCCCATTTCATGGGCTGGTGATCTCTGTAATACCGGAGGTGTGGGTTTGAAAACACAAACAAACATTTTTACAAGATAACCGTGTCCTGTTTATGCAGCTCTGCTGGAAGTAGGGGAAGCTCTGACTGCTGCCCGTCCTGGGGCACAGTGATACTCTTCAGGGATTGCAAACATACCCTTAAGGTATGTGGTTTTGAAGTTCTGCCCTAAGCCCTGGGAGGGCCAGGGGCTGGCAGTGCTGCGTGTCCCCTCCTTGCTCTGCATTTCCACCCTCACCTCTTTGAGTTGCGTTTGCGGAGCTGACGAGAGCTGAAATCTGAACTGCTGAGGTTCAGGGAAGAAAATTAGCATTGCAGAAGAGTTGAAGTTGGAGAGGCCCTTTGGAAGGCTCTGGTCCAAGCCCTTCTCAAAGCTGGACTAGCTTTAAAGTTGTCTCAGCTGGCTCAGGACCAGCCCTGCTGAGTTTTGAACATCTCCCAGCTTCTCTGGGTGCCTGGTTCAGGGCTTGATCACTCTCAGGATGAATAATTTTTCCTTTGCTGCATCTTGTACTTGTTCCCTCTTGTCCCTTTACTGCATGCATCCAAGAGGAGGCCGACTACACCTTGCCCATCAGGTAGCTGAGGGCAGCAATTAGATCCTTCCCTCCCTTTCTCTCCTGCAGGCTGCACAGCCCCACCTCCCGCAGCCTTGCCTCATCTCTTGGTTTGAGATATTTTTGGCAGGAATAAATGGGACTTTGGTTCAGCCATGTTACTGTCAACATGGTGGCTCAGTGGGAAATAGCAGCACTCTGTGAGGGCGAGTTTAGTGCAACATTTCTTGGAGGTAGTGCGCTTTGGAGAGTGAGGAAGTCACCCAAATGTGTCTGAAAATGTAATTTCTGACCAATCAATGTTTGTTCCCCCAAGGGGCAGCCAGGCGTTAACAAGCAGGTCATGCTAAATGTGTTTTCATCGCCTGACACGTGCACACAAGCAGACCAGTGGAAAGATCCAGTCTGGCCAATGAAACCATCACAGCCACTGTGTTCTTGCAGCCAGGTTTCCCAGTGATGGTTTCTGTAGCAGGTCACAGCAGCAAGTGCCTGGCTGCAATTTCCCTCGTCGCTGAGCCTTTGCTGGGCAGTGCTGCTGAATTCCCTCCCAGGGGACAAGAAGTCAACAGCTCAAGAGCTAATTTATTAATTTTAACATTTCTTTAGCAAAAGCTTTTTCCAACAAAGAGCTTTTGGAGACGTATATCTGGCTTCAGAGAACAGCATATGCTGGTTTGCCACTTTAGCTTTTGGTGAGGTGTTTTTGTGCAGGAGAAACGCTGTGGCAGGGACTTCCCTGAGTGGGGTTTGCCCACCCCTGCTCCTGCCAACACGCACGGTTCAGCCTCGATTCTTCTGCCACTACTCTCTTGGCTTATATCAGAGTTTATATCAGAAATCTGAGAAATGCTGAGGCCAGGGGCGTTGGGATGGTTTGGTTCTGGGAGGATTTCTGTGTCTGTGCCAGACCTAGTTCCTGCACTTCCCTCTGAGCCGGGACAGTCTGTGCTGCTTTGTGAAGGCGACGCTGCTGTGTGTCCCCGGGACGGGCAGGGGCCCTGTGGGACCCTCCATGGAGAAAACCTGAAATCTAGAGCCCGGATGGTCCAGAGGGTTTTGCTTACAAAGCGCTTTGGCCTTGACCCGCTTCCCCTCTGGCTGGGCTGGGGCCGTATTTCTGGCAAGGGGTATCTGCACAGAGAGCACCGGGCTCGCCGTGCCGCGCGGCTGTTTGCTGACGGGGTGTTGATGCCCTGTGATGGTCGCCCAGACTGGAGGGCGGCATCTCAGAGCCTTCTCCTGGCAGTAACCAAACCGCGGGCTGGTTTCGGAGCTGGGGTCCAACCACCCAGCTTGCCTGTGGGTCCCTGCCCAGCATCCCCGTGGGAAAGTGCCCGCCGAGC